TGTGGTGACACAAGCTGGGAGCTCCAGCGACCATGCGGCAGGGCGAGGGATGGAGCAGAGTCACGCTCCAGAGGAGCAGAGCACCTTGCACTCACTACACACCCAAAGCACGTGATTTTATCAAGTGTCAGAATGAGAACTAGGGCCAAGCAGATGGAAGTGTGTTCTACATTCACAGAATCACAGGATGGTTGAGGTTTGTAGGGACCTCTAGAGATCACCTAGTCCAACCCCCCTGCTCCAGCAGGGACACCCAGAGCACGGGGCACAGGGTGGCATCCAGGCAGGTCTGGAAGATCTCCAGAGAAGGAGACTCCACAATCTCTCTGAGCAGCCTGTTCAATTCATGTGCTGATGGCTCTTTTTTTTTTTTTTTAATCATATGTACAAGGACTGACCTATTTGAGAGGAACAAATCATCTGCAGAAAGTCAAGGGTGCTAAGCAGCAATAAGCAGTTGAATGGAGCAGAAATGCTAGGAGGATCTGTGCATATGCTGACCCTGGAAGGCAGCATTAAACCCTTTAAATTCTAAGCCAACAAATGCGTTAACCAAGAACTAAGTATAGTAGAAGCTGCAAGAACATCAATTAATTTGTGGAACACTTTGCCACATGATGAAACTGAGATTACAATTTCAGAAATTTTTAAAAGAGATAACACAAATTTGAATACAGGGAAACTTCTAATAGGGGTTAAAAGATTATTTTGTAACTCTCTACTGAACGATTTCTTTGTTTATCTACTGAAGGAGCAGAGACTTTTTAAGACTAATCACTTTTTATAACTTCTGATAATTCTTCTGGTAAATAAAATATCAAAATCTGTGTTCTAACTACAATCCAACTCTGAAAAAGATGTCATTTTTGTTTCGTAAAACATGCTTTGTTTTTACAAGATGTATCAGTCTGATAGCAATCTTGAGAATAGCATCAAGTTTATACAGGCATTCTTTCACCATAAACATTTCTATTAACTGCTTTTCAAAATTATCGGGATTAACTCTCTTCCTTCAATGTCACCTAGCTGACTGAATTTAAAATTGAAACTATGATAGGAATATAAGTGAAATAAGAAGTTATCTGATTTTTGCTGAGATTTCTATTTGTTTATAATTTCACTCAGAAAGAATGTGCTGTAGGTTTTTGCAAAGATAGTTTTCAGGAAAAGAAATGCATGAACTTAAGCATAATGATTTTGCTTTAAATAAGGCCTGATCCAAAACCTCTTTAAGAAAATGGAAATTGCTTCACTGATTTAAAAGCATGGCACTTAGGGCTTTATAGAAAACAGAGGACTACATATCAAATACCCTTTTCTCAAAACAGAGTTGTCCAGAAAATGAGCATAGGGATGTGGCACACAAACATTTCATATACAACTCTACTCCAACACGTAAATGTTTAATACAATCCAAATATAAGACATATGATTAGGGATAAGGGGAAAGCCCCATAAACTATACATGTTCTTGATATAATATAATTCACACAACATTTACTTACAAGGTTGTTACTAAACACAAACAATTCATGCAAAAGAGCATTAAATATTTGGACAGTAAGGAACTGTGGAACTTCATTTTTAAACAGACTTTTTCCGTTTGTACATAGGACAAAAATGATATGCTACTGTCAACATATGAACAGGAAAGAAGTGGTAAGCTACTGCTCACAGCTGCCTGTTCCATTTACTTGAAATCTTATTCTAAAAACAGCTCCTAAAAATGTTTCTTCTATTTATTTTATAAGCTCAAAGTATTTTGATGATTATGTAACAATCCTTTGCTTTAAAATGTTTTGCTAAGCAACAGTCTGCTTATAAGTTAAACTGTTAATACAAAATTTTTTTTTAATTCTATTCAATGGAACCAAGCACAAGAAAAACAAATTGCAAAAGTATGAAAATACTATATCACTTCCTAGCAAATATCAAAATATTGCTTATTTAGAAATTCTTCCATAATAAAACAGTGCATTTCAATGGTTCAGATGAAGGAAAAGATTTGCCCCGTTTAAGTTTCAAGATCTACTCCCAGAATATTCATACAGAGTACGCAGCATGCCCATAGAGAGTGTGAATGAAAACACTTTTTCCAATAAAGTTGGCTATTTATGGATTCAGGACTTGTTAAAAAGAGCTTGAATTTTTAAATGATGAGCAGATTTCCTTCACTGGAGAGCTATGAGATTCTCAACACTTCAACTATTAGAATCAGAAGTGCATCAGCCTCAAAGAAAGAGGAAGGCACTATGAATAAATTATTTGCATTTAATAATGGTTTCTAAACTTCATTTGCTAAGTCACCTGAATCATGACATGGACTTCTTATACATTTATATTGAGTAAAAAAGTTGTTTTTTTTTTTAACTTAGCAATTCCTTTTCCAAAGGGAAAAGATATAAAAATCTCCACATTGTTCAGAGCATCCTGGAGACTCTTTTCAATTCAGACAGCATCTTTTGTTTGATAGCAATCAAATTATTACATTACTCCCTGACTCAGCTTTCTGAACCATAAAATACAGTCTTCCTAAGGAAAAGTAATCTGAGATTTATGGATGAAAAAAATTACTACATAATTTCACTTTTTTAAAAAAAATCTAGATTACATATGCCTAAAATTTTCCAAAATATATCCCAAAATTTCCAAAATTTATTCCATATAACTACTTCAAATATTTTCATTCTAGCATCAGTGTTCTAGCTGAACAGAGAGGACTATCTATTGTAACAGCAGACTGTGCACAAAAAACATTTATAGCCAAATGCTTTGAGAGAACGTGGGGTTTAAGCAGCATCTAGTGGTTAAGTTTAGACAAGCAGCCATTCCTATTTAGCTCCACTCCCCACTTTTCTAAATATAGCATCTAGGCAATAAGGAAAGAGGTTGACTCCACCAAATTCAAGATTCAAATGTAATCTTGCTTTAAAAGAACCTCTGCATATTATCTTCAATGGAAAGCAAGGAGGAAAGGTACAATAGATTGTACTAACCACATCCTTAAAAAAAAAAAAAGGATTTATTGCAGAAAAATATTGAAATAACTTTTAGCCAAGACCACAGGCACAACATTTCAAGTGAATCTTTTAAAGTTATTTTCTATCCAACACAACCTCATATCTTCCCAGCAAGTGTGATAAACGAGTACTCTCTTCTCACAGGCTTCTGTGGATGTTATTGTTATATAAATAACATAAAATAAATATCTTGCATCAAGATAATGTTAATGAATGCTGCACCCTGGGTCAGATAAATCACCACCAAGCAAGCATTTTCAAATCTTGTTGAAATGATTTACATTACTGTTCACGACTACATTTGATAACAAGCTATGTTTATGGTCCCAGTGTATGGTCACTCCAAACACACTGGTTTAAGTAGTAAAATTCTCCTCCTTATATGAGGGAAAACATCCCACTGCATATTGCGTATTCACAGCCAACAAAGGAAACTGTCATCAAAAGCCTGATGTTAAGTTTGGCCCAAAAATATGGTTTTAACTTGGTGATAATTTAGAAGATGAAGTCTAATTAATGTAAGTATATAAAAAGATTTGAGAGCACATCGTAGTTGAGCAAAGAGCTCTAGGAAAAAATACTGCTTATGTTGCGGAGAAATTTTGAACACATAAATGCAAAAGGGGAAATTAACACATGCAATTCTGCAAAATGTAAAGCAGTATATAAAGAGATGCCAAAACAAACAAAGTTTCTCAGGCAACATCTATAAACACCACCCACCCTCAAGATTTCCATCAAATGAAGGAAAAAGCCATGTATTGGTATACCTTATTAATGCAGTTTGTAACCTTTAATTCTTCACAGAATTGGAGCAATGAAAATATGCTTATTTATTGATTCAAATAAAACATCTTAAGGCTTTTGAAATTTGTAATTAGAGCTAAAAAATAAATAGGATCAACCTATGCTGCAAATTTCAATACCTGAAAATGCCACAGTGGGGATGCATCATATTCCCATGACCCAACCCATAACAAGGTCACCAAAAGATGTCTCAAAGCCATTCTGACCTGTTTGTTTGTCCTCAAGTCTTCTGCAATCAATATACATCACCATAAAATGAGACTTCTTAATCCTCCAACTCTGACCTTTCATCTGCAAAGATGATGATGATCTTCAGCCTTTAGTATTTTTCAGAAGTGGAGGGGCCTCTTTTCCCATTGAAAAATAAAGGGACTCACTCACGCACTGCAAACATCAGAAAGCCTTAACAGAAAGGAAAATCTGTACTCTAAAACAAGTGCCTGCTTTTGCCTGGCTTGAGGAGCACATGGGCCTTGCATTGCAGGGTCCATGACATTTACACCCTACTCGGCCAAAATTCAGAACTGCCTTCACCCACCAGGCTTGGGTAGCGGAGAGATACAAAGGGGAAAGCCCCAGGAATATGTCAGTGAGAACAACAGTACCATAATAAAAAAAATAATAATAATAATAATAATAATAATAGCAGAACCCCCCCAAAATGGACCTCTTTTCTGATTGTCTTAAAGCAAGCAAAAAGGTCACTGATGGGTGTAGTGATAGGACATATCTTCAAGGATGTTTTCTGTCTAATGAACAACAAAGTGTACAAGTGAAATGAGTTAATGTTGAAAATGTTCACCACTGCCCAGATAGGACAATGGTATTTAATACTCTATAATAGTTTTACCTATTTTTTCCTAGCCCTATAAAGTATGAGTAATATTTTTAAAAGATGAATTTTATGTTGTGCATCTTTCAATTTCAATAGATAACCCATAGCTTGAAAAAAAGGCCAACCCTGTGATTCAGTACATCACATACAATATTAAAGCAATGTCTCAGCTTTCTCTTCCCCATTAGCTCTCCCTCAGGAGCACCCCAAAATTCTCCTCCTCCATCAGTCATTTCCTTGCCCAATTTCTTCTATGTACAGAAATATGCTTCATCGGAAGTCCTTTTATATAACAATACTTGTTGCAAGATGACAGCTATGAGGACTGCACATATGAAAAAAAACATTTTCTACTGCACTATCCTCAGCTGAACTGGTGTTTTAAAAATTCACTGGAAGAAACAAGTGATGTGGACAGCTTTTACTCCATTTTAAATAGTTTGTAACATTAAAACTTCAGTGTTTTCAAAGAATTGGTGTGGGCCCAATACTTATGAAGCTATAGAAGACCACTGAGAACTGCAGAGCTTTACACATAGGTTATACCACTCTAAGAAAAATTCTTAAAGGTTTTCTTAATGTTAAGTGATGAAAAACACTTTTAGGAAGCCAAATTAGCTTGTGTTAAACAGAAGCCATGCCTGAACAGGGTACCACATCACTTTGACTTGCTCTCAGCTTTAGAAATGAATGGGTTCACCAAAGCCATAGCAAATTTGCATTTAAATGAAGCCAAGAGCAATTCACTCTATTAGCACATTATTGAGTATCTTATATAAAACACTTGCTGTCTGTGGAGGTCTGAAACCCAAAGATTTCAAGGCCCCTAGATAAATGCCTAGACCCAAAGGCTACAGAATCTTATTTTCTTATTATTTTGACTCATTTTCACTCTGAACTTTTGTTCTTAAATGCAAGGAATTCTTCCAGACTGTAGAAGGATAAAGACTGATATCCGAGAAAAATAAAGAGCTACCAATTATAAAACAAATGCTCTAAACACTAGGAGCCACTGTGGTTCACAGTTGGCAACATATCAATATCGGTGCTTAACTTCTTACACAACAGAGAAAAAAAAAATATCACTTGCAATCTCAGAATCACCTACTTTGTACACAATACACGTTAGGGAGGAAAAACCTGAAGATTATTAAACTATGACAGAAACTCGGGCATTTTTAAATGAGTGTTGATATTAATCTTCTGTCCTCCTTACAAGAACGTTAAGCCTGTTGAAGCCCTTATTAAATTTTACTAGATTTCAGTTAAACCTTTTGTTTCTTTCTTTATTCTTGACAATAAAATATTTCCACATATTATAATTCTAATGTAGAAAAACACCCTTTTATTGATAGATGTTAATTACACTGGGGTTCTAACTTGTTACAGTTTGAAGACAGCCTCAGATGCTACTTTCCTCACTGAAATCTAAAGACTAAATGCAGATATTAAATCCTGCCTTTTCTTGCCAGTTAGTACTAAAAGGTTTAGCACGGAATATGAATTTATGAATAACTGTAAAGGGACATATTCATGTTTTGACAAGTTTTTATTGTGAAACATTGGATTTAAAAAAGGTACAAAATGTCAATGGGCAGAGGTGTGCCAGTACAGCATTTCAACAGTCTATACATGTGGACAGCTGAATAGCTTCACTGCAAAATGCATAATTTTACACACTAGCTAAAAGGGGACCGCAATATTCACAGGCTTAAAATACATAAATAACTTGAGCCAAAAAAGGCCATTACTGGTCAACGCTAATCGACATCTGAAAACAGGCTAAAAAAGCACAACACATTACAACAATCTCCTTGTAGGTCCACGTTTAAAGAACATCAGTTTATTGTGTCAATAATCTACAGCTCCAGGGCACCATTTTTAGGGCTGGGATTCAGCTGGCTAGTTTACAACTTAAAAAAATTCAAGTTAAAAAATGAGATTATAGAACAAAAAAGAGCAGATATTTACTTACAACTAAATACTGTGAAGCCCCTAAAACTGGGATTTTTTGCACTGGGATTTATAAAATTGATTATTTCTTATATGGAACTTCTGTTTGTTACTTTAAAATATCCTTACTGCAGTTTGAATAGATATCATTAAATTATTCTATAATCAAACACTTACATTTGCTATGCAGTTCTGTGTTTTAAAACCAAATTCACCAAAGATGGGTGGTCATTCAACTGGAGAAAACTAGTATCAAAATATTACTCTGAATGAAAGTCCAACTTGTAGATTAAAAAAACAAGCAAACATCCTCAAAGGATAGCAGCATTCTCTATCCTAGTTTAGCAAGTTTAAAGAACAGCATTTACAAATGTATAAATTTGATTTTAGTGTATAAAAAAAATACACAACAGGAAACAAGCTAACTTGATTTTCAAATTATTCAGTAGTCTGTCACTGCTGGAACTTATTTGAACTACTGAAAAGGAGTTCACAGTTCAGAACATGAGTGGAGAGCCAAGTAATTTTAGTTAATTAAAATGTGTAGCTTAGTCTACACAATTAAGCTTACTGAAATAAGCAGTTACCCTGTTACCAGTCAATACCCAGAGCTGAATAAACTTTTACTCACACAAGTCTGCTCCAGTTTGTATGATATGTAACTCACTTTCCTGAGCAGAAACCTTGGGATATATTAAGGGATGTTTAACAGAAATTTCTGGATATGACTAATGTCCTTTAGGAGCAGAGCCAAACCTAGATTTATGCAATTTAGAATCAAAATCCAATTAAAAGATTGAAACAAAACAAAAAAAAATTAATTTGACATCTTGTCCACTCCCTTAACTCATTTCAAGACCATCAGTCTTGGCTGCTGTTTTCTCATTGAGTATCTTTACTAGGGGATGAGAATTTTGCAGTTCATTAGCAGTCACCATAAGTTACAGCCAAAGACATTAAACTGGACAATTGAAATAAAATAAAAGTGTGTATCACTAATTAATGACATAACATTGGGAGTACGTCTGGTGTGGAATTAGAATTAGCACTGTGCCAAAGGGAGAAAAATAAAAACCAACTCCTAAACTCTAATGTGGCCAAAAAAACCCACGTCTTTTGTTCAGGAAGTGTTTGGCATGAGCAGCACTAACAAAATTCTACATCTCACATACACAATCTACAAAGATCATCTAAAGCCAATACTCACTGCTATCAATTAGCTAGCTCCTAATGCTGCTTCAAGCACTGCACTAGCCTCTTTGATCTTTGTTTCAGGTTCCTCTGTACACACATTTATATTTACATAAAACATTTATTAAACATGATTTTAAAACATAAAACCCCCTATGTACAAAATACCAACATTCCTATAAATAAACAGTTGGAAAGGCACTTGCAAGAAAAATCTACAGTAAATCTTACAAAAAACACACTGCATGTTACTGTACAATAGATAATCTTTCAGTAAATCCCTATCACAAGAATGTAAAACACTAGTTACTTGTTATGACTAAGAATATAACCATTACAACTGTATTTACAAATATATACATGTCTTTTTATTTTCACTTGAGAGCACCATGATTTCCACCCTAAATTTGTATGCTGATACAAAGTAAAAGAACAGTTGCCAGAAACCAGTGTTCAGTGTCACTGTTTGTGGTTCACAAACTTTTGGCTGACATCGGTTTAAAGGATTCCGTTGCTGCTTTGTAGAACGTACTCCTGGTTTGTTATTGCGTTTTGTCCTTTAGAGAGAGCACTGCTATGTTCTCTATGCAATTGTTTAATACTATTGCTGGCAAAAACGTTTACAATATCAAAAAAATAAAAACATTCTTCAAGCCAGTTGAAGTATTTTATCTGAACAGTAACTAAAAAAAAGCTGCATATTAATTATAAAAATGTGTAGGAAACATGCCAACTAATCTGGTGTGCAAAAATAATTTTCCACTACGCAGGACTTTAAGGGCTTCACAGAATTACTCAAATTTACAGTGAGTAGTAAACTCCATGAATAACCAGTTCCTCAAGGAGAAGTTAATATACTCCCACTTTTATCAAACTTTTTACCCTTTGACAAAGCTGCAACCTGTTTCAGCAGTTCCCTGTTTTTGGCCTGCAACAAAGAGAGAAAGAAAGGAGAAGGTAAAAAAAAAAAAAAAAAAAAAAAAAAAAGGAAAGTTTATGAATTACTTAAAGTTCTCAGGTAGGGGTGTCATGTACTTATTTCCTGTTGCATGTATAAAACCATCTCTCAAAACATTCATGCTGGAAATACTCAAAGACTATCACTCAGTTTTCAAAACTTATTTGTGCCATCAGAGAATAGACACAGAAAAATAACATAACTTTTTAGAAACCACTTGAGGCAAACCTTTAATTCTTGTAGTTAGAAAACTTAATTCATACAGAGTATCTGTGGTCTACAAAACTGAGGTAAAAACAGATTCCAAGTTAAATGTGGTAACAGACATTCAAAAAGTTGAATGTGAAAAGCCTAAATGCATAATTCTACCTGAGACATATGTGAAGTAATTATATTACTTACCTGCAACTGTTCCACAGTTTCTTTGTGAGCTTTCTCCATACTGTTCATCTTTGTCCTCAAGTTTGACTCCTGGTACTGGAAGTCTGCCTTCAACTCTGTCAACTAAAACCAGAAATGCTATAAAGATTCCTTGGACAGCGGCAGGATGTTTTGTAATCAGTCTGCAGGATCTTTACGTAAGCATCAAATCTCAGCAACATGGGCTTTACTTACTAGTTCATTATTAACAGCTCAGCATTTGAGAAGGAGCTTGAAAAATGTCTGTTTTATATGGGGGGAAAAACACTACACTTATATAACCATATTGTTTATTCAGGATTTGGAGTATAGAAGACAATTCCTCAGGACAGGAGAGGGGGAAGCCAAACAGGATTACATAGATGTATGAGCCTAGCTGTACTTTTTCAGATGTGAGACAGTTGCCACAATCTTCAGTTATGTCTCATGCAGGTAGCCTTTATACAGTATGGTAACACACAAGCACAGAAGGGCTGAGACTGGAAGGGACCTCTGGAGATCTTCTTGTCCAACATCCCTACTCCAGCACGGTCACCTAGAGCATGTTGCTCAGGATCATGTCCAGGAGTGTTTGGAATACCTCCAGGGAAGGGGCTCCACAACCTCTCTGGGCAGCCTGCTCCAGTGCTCTGTCACCTTCACAGTCAAGAAGTTTTCCCTCAAATTCAGAGGGAACTTCCTGAACTTCAGCTTGTGCCCATTGCCTCTTGTCCTGTCGCTGGGCACCACTGAATATAGTCTAGCTCATTCCTCCTGACATCCTCCCTTAAGATATTGGTACACACTGGTTACTCTCTCAGCCTTCTCTTCTCCGGGCTGAACAGGCCCAGCTCTCAGCCTCTCCTCACAGGGAAGATGCTCCTGATCATCTTTGTAGCCCTTCAATGGACTCTCCAGCAGCTCCACCTCCCTTTTGTACTGGGGAGCCCAGAGCTGCACCCAATACTCCAGGTGTGGCCTCACCAGGGCTGGGTAGAGGGGCAGGATCCCCTCCCTTGACCTGCAGGCAATGCTCCTCCTGATGCACCCCAGGATCCCGTTAGCCTTCTTGGCCACAGGACACACTGCTGCCTCGTGGTCAGTCTGCAGCTCGCCAGGACCCCCAAGTGCTTTTCCCAAAGCTGCTTTCCAGCAGGTCAACCCCAACCTGTCCTTGGGCTGGGATTATTCCTGGGTCCTCTCTAGTTTTGCAGGACCCAGCACTTGCCTTTGTTGAACTCCATGAAGTCCTCCCTGCCCATCTCTGCAGCCTGTTGAGTTCCCTCTGAACAGCAGCACAGCCCTCTGGGGTGTATCAGCCCCTGCTGCCAGCTTCGTGTCACCAGCAAACTCGCTGAGGGGCTGTCGCTTCAAGCAGGTCATTGCTGAAGAAGTTGAACACGATGGGACTTGGTACTGAGCCTGGGGGCTACCACTAGCCTCAGGCCTCCAACTGGGCTCTGCACCACTGATCACAACCATTTGAGCTCTGCTATTCAGCCAGTTCTCCCTCCCTGTCTACTCATCTTCAGCCACCTCCCTGTCTACTCATCTAACTTACGCTTCCTGAGCTTGGCCATGAGGATGTTATGAGAGACTGTATTGAAAGCTTTGCTAAAATCAAGTAGACAACATCCATTGCTCTCCCCTCATCTGCCCATCCAGTCATTCCACATAACAAATCTCCCCCAGAAGGATAATAAAAATGATTCCTTTGGATTCCTTTTTATGCTGTCATCTGTCTTAAGCAGACTATAGTTTGTCCTGTATATATTCCAGAGCTTCAATGCCTCTAAAGCCACAGCAATAGTAATTTAAATTGTACAAGAAATGTGTAATTAAAATTGCTTTACTTAGAATTTAATTCTGAAAATATGTTGTTGAATTCCTGCCACTGAATTTCTCCTAAGACCAGCAGAGGTCCGAATCAGCAGGTGTTGCTAAACTGTGATAGATACTTTTATCCCAGCAGTTGAATGCTTCCTCTGGAAGCACGTGCAGCCACGTGAACTGCTATTAACAGAGTTTGCTGTACGTGGACCCAGTAATTTTAGAAACAGCCTTCTTTAAAATGTTCTGTTCCTCAAAGTAGACACAATGCACCTTGCTCTTTTGAGCTTTTCAGGTCAATTTGGATCAGGAAATAAAGGCTCTTAGCTGGCAAAGAAGCTGGCTATAAAAAAAACAGAAAAGACATTCCTAAAATAACTACTAAGATTGCTATTATTAACACTACTGTGTTAGTTACTGAATCACAAGTAATGAGAAAGAGTAGTCAAAAGAACAGTCAACCACATGGTGCTAAAAAGAAAACTCAAATGTGTGTATCAAGACACTACTGTACACAGATTGCTGCTCAAGGTATGTATTTAGCAAAGCTCTTGTAAAGTCCAGAGACCATAAACTTGCTGCTCAAGGTATGTATTTAGCAAAGTAAAGTCCAGAGACCATAAACCTCAGGTATCCAAAACAAAGACCACCTAGCAGTAACACTGCACCATAAAAAAATGTGCAACTAGACTACAAGGGGCAAGTAGCAATCTCCCAGTGCCTCATACTACCATTTTGCCCAAAAAGTTAAATAATGTATTACAGCAAACAGCAAGCACTGGTAACAAGTCAAGATCTTGACTCATGGCAAAACATGATGAGTGAGAACTGCATAGCACTATAGAGCTGTACGACAGCATAGCACTGTAGAGGTTTACTAAGCTTAGCATTTCCTGAAGTTACACATTTCCAAGATACTACTTTTTCATTTGTAACACACTGAACTGGCCAGATGCTCGTCCCTACACAAATCTGGGAACAAAGTTTTAACAGGGATCTCCCACAGCTTCTAGTTCAGGACTGACATTTGCAGACCTTTACCCCAGCAGGTGTCTTTATATTTACTAACTCACAGGCAGAAACTTGGGCAATGCATTCATTTGTTGCATTCTTTTCAGCTATGCAAACGCTGGATGTGTTTTCTTCCTCACAGCAGCTACAGAAAGTCACCAACACTGAAAAGAATTAATGCCTGAAGGAGTGTTTAAGTTCCAAGAACTCTGAGGCCTAAGAAAGTTTTAGCAGAAGGAGTATGGAAACTATAAGACACTCCTCCCTGGAAACAGCATAAATGCAGGTCACTTCAGTGGGTACGCAGAAGTAGGTGACGTTTCCCTTTTGCTAGCTTTACCAGTACATAAAAATAGATATGGCAATTTCATTTCATACAGACTCCTGACCTTACACTGGCTTTACAGGAGTGAGATCAGAGCCTTAATGCTTGCCTTTTCAAGACAAATTCCCCACGAGGATCCAAGACAGACTGTTCAGTTCTTTCACATTAGCACTTAACAGGCTTGAAACAGTTAATTCCATAACTGGTAACATCAGCTATACTGCAGCAGGGATGAACCTAAAGGGCTTCAAAATTTTATTCAGAAGAGCTTAAACAGGTGCTGATCTACATGTTCTAAATGGAAGGAATTTCCTTCTAGGACCAACAAGCTGTTCTTAACCTTCAAATTTCTAGTAGGCCACCATGCACCTATAATCAAACTTATATTTGAGAGTATTATAAATATTATTTTTACCATAATTCCATGACTTACTTAATCCTGCACAGACAGTCCAGAGCCACAACTAGAGGCAGTGTTGTAAAAGTATCTCACAAATCAAAGCGCAAAGAAAATAAGCTCTAATAAAGGCCAAGCTAATTGAACACTTGGGGTTGCTTTTCTTTCATTGTAAAATTTAAGCTCATTGTATGAGTTTCACCGTAGTAATTACAGGCTCGACTTCACTTAACTTTTGCCATTTACCAAACACCTAATTCATGCTATTCTTCTAGTCTTTAACCACAGACAAAGTAATCTACACTACACAAAAAGATCAATATTTTAAAATAATCAAAACACTTAACTTCTCCTCCTATAAGAGGAAAAAAAAAAGAAAAAAAAAACCGCACACCTCTAACTCTCTTATGAATTATTACTATTGTAGCTTTTATGAATTATTACTATTGTAGCTTTTATTTAAAGTAAAAAGCAGGTTAAACTTGGAACATTTCCTGCTTTTATTCCCCATGTTTGCATGCCTGCCAGAGTACATAGGTATGTCCAGAGATCTTTTTTTGGACTGAATTAAAAATACATAAACTACTGTCTAGCATTTTAGCCATCACCTGAGGAATGAGAAAGGAGAAGCAGTGAACTAGCTGGCTAATTCACACATCACTAAAGTGAGATGAGGTTAATTCCTCTTTGTCTCAGGGCCAAATTAATATTCAAGATATGAAAGCTGAGAGCTTGTCATTTAAAAGGCAAAAAAGTATATGATTTTTGTTTCATCATACCATTTGACAGAATTTTGGGGAATCTATAAAGTAGAAGACAATTTCATAAAAGCCTTGCTAAGCAGATGCAACTTTTACCTTTTTATCTTTTTCTAAAATGGTCTGATCTCTTTGCTGCAGAAGTCGTTTAAGGGACATTACTTCTTCTTTCAGCTGACTTATGAGGACGAAGTTGTCGGTTCCCCCACTGTCTGCTGACTGATTTATAGAGCTACTAAAAAATAAATAAAAAAAATTACTTGCAACATCAATAAAAAAAAACATATATTTTTAAAGTTCATATGGGATAATTAACAATTCCACAAACAACCTTAAAGACTAATGCAAAAAAAGTATGTACCTGACAGAAATTGATGGAACTGGCAAATTACCTTACTAATGGCACACATTACATACACCTGCAGAAATATAATTAAATATTAGCTTTCAGGGGGACAAATACCTTTTGACTGAAGCAGCGACTTTTATATTTATACCAACTTTTTGGCCAGAGACAGAATAAAGATTCAGTCTCTGCACGTCAATGTTCAAATGACTTGTTTAGATACTAGGTCAGCTTAAAGCAGCAGGTTCAACCCTGCATCCAACTGAGGAAAATCACGGATGTTACAGAACACCGTTTCTTTGATAACTGTCGCATCCTACACACACTTCATTTAATTTTGCCCCAGACAGCTTAAAAGCAGGAACACAGTGCCAGTTTTGTGCTAATTAAGTCATTTAGCTGACCAACAGCACTCAAGATGCCACCCAATAATTTGTTTGGTGGGACAGTTATTTTTCACCTCCCTCATTCTCCAGACCAAAAAAGAAAGGAAAAAAAAAACAAAAGTAACTGGCCACAAATGAGTGCTCTACTTGGCTGAAATGGCTCAGCTGTACAAAGATGTAACTTTACCTATCTCCATTTGATGGCTTGGATTCCAGTTTGGGCTTTTTCTTTGGAGTTTCATTCTGAATAGCTGCAGAGGATTTATGGCTGAAATCAAACAAAATGTAAACCTAAAACCTCATACTAAATAACTCTCTAACATCACTTGATGATCATCATTTGGTAAATATAAAATAACTAACTCATGCTGCTAGCTGGAATGCTAGAAACTAAGCAGAAATGTGAGGAAATGGATCCTTTAAATACAATCTCCAGGATAAATTAAAAGAAAATTAACATATGCTATCATACTTACCTCTGTTTCCACAGTCCCTGATCTTGTTCTGGACTCAGATTGCTGATTCTGAAATACATGAAACATACTTAGGGAAAGCAGTTGAGCAAACATTCTTTTTTTTTCTTCTAAAATTATGCAAATAATATCTGTTCCTTTTTCATAAATAAAATTACCAATTATGAATTTCCAGTTGGTCAGTCGTATTGCCTGTTATATTTGCAATCACTCTTTATTTACTAAGGTTTGAATGCTGTTAAAATATTTTAGCTAAATATGTACATTATCATAAGACACAAGGGGATGACTTTAAGCTTGACAGCTAAATCTTTTCCCAGCATTTCCTGTTTTTTGTCAGCTTTGTATTATCAATCTTGCAATTTGGTCTAAAACCATACCATACTTTGTAATAAATGAAAACTGCCTAAAAAGATGTCTACTTCTGTACTACTACTGCCAGTAGCGGTGCCACAAAAGCAGAGAAAGCTTTGCATGCCTGAAATATATCTTTAGTTGGAAAAAAAATGCATAGGTCTTCAATAATTTCAAAAGTAACTGAAGTAACTTTAACCAAACCACATGGTTATAGGAATCACTAATGGCAAAATTTAGATTACATTGAATGAAATATTTCAATGACTTTATACTTCTTTTTCATGTTATTCTCTTACACCTCAAAATAATTTATATGGGGAATCTATTGGACCTTAAGCAACAAACCCAGGGCATCCTATAGAAAAAAGGTGCTAAGCCAACCTATATTCATTGAGATAAGCTTTTTCTAACAGCTCCTGAGTATATCAGGAATTCTGTATTGAAGAATTATCATCTTTTAATTTAATCTTTAGTAGATCATTGCCAAACTTGTTAAATCAGACATACTTTGTAACAGTTCTTCTTTTAGCAGAGACTAGAGAGAACAATATCAGCATAACTCTCTCCTTGACAGGCATAATTTTCTTCAAATTCCTGAAGAACCAGTTTATTTTATTTTTTAAGGGAAAACATATTTCTCTCCTCCTCGTTCTCAGTACCATCCCAGATTATTTTATGTGTATATACATACACACAAGTACATATAATTTTATACATGTATATTTTATATATTTATATACACACACAAGTACATATATTTTATATATGTATTTATATATATATACACACACACATAAATATATATATATTTTTATATGTGTGTGTATATATATATATACACGCACACACACATACACACTCGATGAAACATGTTTTGGGAAAAATGGTAAACTACATTATAAAAGTGGAGCTTAGAATGAAAGCATTTGTATGTCCCTTAATGACAAGGATCGCTACCTTTGCAGCTATAGTTCTCATTATCTACTACAATAAAATAAATAAATAAAAAAGGGGAAGGAAGGAGGGAAGGGAGGAAAAAATAAGTAGTTTGAAGTATGCTACCATAAGCCTATCAATAAAAATACAAGTCACATAATTGTCATTATATTAGCAAGGAAAAGAAACAAATCAATCCTGAGATTTAGGACTGGATAAATGGAGTATGTAAATTAAAGTTGGTAGGTTCTTAATGCCACAGCCAGAGAAAAGCAGAGAAAAGACAGAGAAAAGCTGAGAAAAGTTGCAAGATGAGCCAGAATTATGTGAAATGTTAACAGTGCCAATAACTGAACTGACAGTGCTGTTTTCTTATGTCTGCGTGATAGTTGCTTACGAAGCATCACTTAACACTGCCTCCTCCAGCAGGATTTGATTAGAGCAACCACCAGAAAGACACAGACTGGCCCTTTACTGAGGGCAATTCCACATGGATGCTCAGGCGTCTCAAGCAAGAACCTCATCACCAGTAGTATGGTGCACACAAAGAAGTCACAAGGATGTAAGTGAGGGTTGGGATTCCAGATAAAACAGCTACTCTGCGCTGCCACTATACATGTTTTAACCCATGGGAAATTCCTGCAAATTAGTGGTTACTGCTTAGAAATCCCTTAGAAATTTTAACTTATCCCCAAGTAACTTGTTCCTGTAAGCCACTGGCTGGATTTCTTTTCTAGATCTTCTGTCTTCTGTCTACAACACCAAAAAAGAAGTTCGAGACTTTCTGTTGTTCACCCATTTCTATTCACCCAACTTGCAAGAACGCAAAGACCTTAACAGGAACAAAAACATTCTACTATGATATTCGACATTGTATTTTAAACAGTGTTTCTTATTTCCTTTAATTTAACCTTAGAACTAGCAGAAAGGGAACAAGAAGATGGATCAACAATTATTTCATATTTCCATACTTACTTATGATGACCACTGCTGTGGCGGTGATGGTGGTGGTGATGGTGGTGGTGTTTTGAGTGATGCTGGTCTTTTTCAGTGAGAGATGAGGATGAGGAGTTCGAATGTGAAGATCCCAGGCTCTTCCTCTGCTCTTTTGTCTTCTGTAGTACTCTCTTGTAGGACAATGTGCAGAGCCAACACAGTAACTTTCCATCAACCTTTTGGGAAATAAGTCATACATTTTTTTTCCCAAGAATTCTTCCAGAAGAAAGATGTACTTTAGTGAGAAAATGTTTCACTTCATCTGTTATCTATAAGAAAAATCCACACTTCTCTTTGGCATGAAACAGCAATACTATATCCCCAAATATATGTACTATATTATTTAATCTAGTGAATCTTTCTTCATTCCTTTTTAGCATTTAAAGTTTTTCTACAAGACAGTGCAAGCAAATATCAAATCCATTCTATATCATAAAAGTGAGAATAACTTTAAGGGGTAAATCATTTTTAGACACCATGTACCCTCTCAACCCATCGTATTCCAGAGCAGAATCAAGATGTCCAGTCAACGTGTTACTTGTACCAAGTAAATTCTTCTGTAAAAACAGCATTATTCTTGGGTTCAGGCAAGAGGCTTATAAGGTGATTTCCTCAGCACCTTCTGGAATGAGAAAGTGGCACTCACCAAAGCTATTTAAGAAAGCAGAACACAAAGGGCTGCTCAGAGCAGACTCCCTCTCTGGTGCTACATTTTAGGGCAATGCAGGCAGACTGGAAGCGGTGAAGTGACAGATTCAAGTTAATGACACACACAGGATGTAATGAATGGGAAAAAATAAAAAGCACCAACACTACTCAGCCACTTAACCTCTGTCAACGAAATACTACTGTCAGCTCTGCACTAAGAAAAAAAAAATTACTCTAAAATAAGTTAGCCCAATAGCTAACATAATGATTTTAAATTATAGAATTTAATGGGAATACTGAAAAGCACAGCACAATGACTTTAAATCGATACTAGAGAACTTCAGATACACTCCTGATAATCTTCCTCTTATGAAGCAGGAGCGCCTAAGCCGTTACAGCTCTGGAACAAAGCTTACCTTCCTTCTTCCCTCCTCTTTTCGGTCAAAAGCACATTGCTGTTTGCACTGTTCGCACGTTTGAGGTGGCCCATACTTCTTTTCTGAGTTTGTGCAACGCTGACATTTTGTGCCGATGAACGCTGCAATGATGTTACAATACTGACAAGGCTTGGGCTGAAAAACAGAGAAGCAGAGCTGAAGTTAATATATTTATGATTTCTGTGACAAGCTATTGCAGGTATTTCAAATCTCCCAGCAGCGCTTCTAAACTATTAGGGATTCAGATTTCAAAAACCCCTTTATCTCCACTGGTTCTACTTCACTGCTAACTTTTTCTGGGATTAAATTCAATGAAAAACAAACAAAAATAAAACAAAAAACATACCATACATTTTGACTGCTCACTCCCCCAACCCTATTTTCTGTTGTGACTCCAACTTCTCTATATCCTTGAACTACTCAGGGATTTGAGCCCTATGGCTCCAAGATTAGCATCCCTACAACTTCAAGAAATTTAACAAACCTTCAGATACCTTCAGGTCAGATTATCAGCTTTTATACCATACATTACACAAGAGTAATACAAATAAAAAAGAAAATTCCTGACACTTTTCTTCAGTCCGAAGAGGCAGCTTTTTTAACTGAACTATTGCTAAAAAATTTACTGTCTCTGTCTTAGGCTTCAGTTTCAAGCTTTTCAAAGAATGCTCTTTATGTTTGTTTACAAAATGCCTGACTACATACCAACACCTCATATATCTCCAATAAGCTGAATTTCATCTAGTGTGTTTTATGCTAAGTATACAGAAGCTAAATATGCCTGTTTCACAAACAAGATTAGCTCAATAACTCAATGCAAAGTTTACTAAAAACTAAAGCATACTAAAAAGTTCTCTAAGAGAACTGGAGCTACAATTAAGGTGAAAAAATGCAAAGTAACAAGATGATAATACTCATTAACTTTTACTACTTAACAGCTTAAAATTGTTAACAAATCTCTAAAAAAAAACATACTTGTATTATTTGCTTTTGCTTTTTACAATACTTGTATCATTAGCTTTTCACACGCCAGCACTCATCGAAAACCCAGACAGTTAAGCATCTTTCTGCTGTCAACTGTGTTCAAGAGACTATGCAAAGAATTGCTTTATGTGCATAAAATGAAGTAACACTTTCTTGCTATGAATAGCTCTGTTGCAGTTATTCATAACTGTTAAGCTACATATAATAACAATGAAATTCATTTTGAAAAAAGGAACTGAAATCCAGGAAGGAACTGAAGAGCTGCCAATAATTTTCACTACTTTTCATAAGGCTTTTTTTTTGGTTATAACAAGTATGAAGTTGAATTCCCCAGAGATTTTTTTCTTTTTGAATGTGAATGAACCCGAGTTCGGTTTTTAGAACTAAGAACCTACTCACCGTTCCAAACTGCTTCACGTTTTGGGCACATTTCTTGCATATTGTATTAGTTTTGCTAAAGATAAAATTGCACAATATTGAATTCAGAGACAAACGCTTTCCTTGAATTTTTTCCCCATGCAATTACTGAAAAACATACATGCAAATATGGGCTAGAGTAGTAAACAGTTAATGATCAGCAGACAAAGTGCCCTGACAGTGCCTTGTGTTTACGAGAGGCGCGCGCGTCACCGGAGCAGACAGGTCACTTCCCTGCCGCTCGCTTGTCTCTCCTCAGAGAGTTGAGCATTCCCCTCTCCCTGCGAGTTGCTCCACAGAAACAGCTGCTCTTTCCACAGCTACCCCGGCAGGGCAGGCAGAGCTCCCGTGCGGCGCGCTTTGCTGTGGCAGAAACGCTGCTGT